AGTTGTTTAATATATTGACATTTAATTTTGATTTATACTTTTCCTTTTGGCATTAAATGTTAATTATAGGTTGGACCTTAACAAATTAAACAATTTAATTAATTTTTGCATTACTCTAAATTAAAAATAAATATTTTTTTACAAGCGTACCAAGCCGTACCCGTATCCTATTTTTTTTTGAATTTTACCGTATCGACGTACCTGTATCGTATCAGTACCAGTACTCGTACTCGTACCTGTGCTTCATAGGTGTGACAAAGCTTCACAAAAGTGAGTTGTGTGCTTTATATGATAAAAAGGGTGCGTGTGTGTGTGTGTGATTTTTTATTTTTAACTAACTCGAGTGTAATTGTGTAGTCATTTGGATCATATCGGAGCTCTTCCATATTTCACTGAAGTTTGTGGGTACAATGGACCCATTTACATGACGGTAATCTCTCTTACATGATTTGTGTGAACAAGTGTTGAAGTACCTTCTATTTCCAAATTGCTACATTTGGTGTGCTTCAAACTTTGATTTTCAAAGCCATGCCATTGATTGCATGTCTTCTTGAAAGGCTGTTTGTAAGGAAGTTGGTTTTCAAAAAAAAAAAAAAAAAAGAAAAAGAAAAAGAAAAAGAAAAAGGCTGTTTGTAATGAAGAATGAGCACACCCAGTATTTGTCTGCTTCAATTGACTGGAGACAGATGTGTCCTTGGTATTATTGGCATCAAATGGCATTATTGACCTATTTATCTTTCAAATTATTGCCATCTAGATGAAGTACCATTGTAATTCTTTGCCATTTTCTTGCAATTCTTTTATTTTATTAGGTTATAAGTGATTTTATTCAGTGATTATATTATTCTAATTGGGTGCCAAGACATTTCTGATTCATTTTTTTAACTACTCTGGGCTGGATGCCAATTGACTTTTTCTGGTTAGGCATTAACAATTCGTAATTCAAATTTCTTTTCACAAGATTAGTATTTATTTCATTTATCTTCCTGTCTTATTTCATTTATCTTCCTGTCTTATTTCATTTATCTTCCTGTCTTATTTCATTTATCTTCCTGTCTTATTTCATTTATCTTCCTGTCTTATTTCATTTATCTTCCTGTCTTATTTCATTTATCTTCCTGTCTTATTTCATTTATCTTCCTGTCTTATTTCATTTATCTTCCTGTCTTATTTCATTTATCTTCCTGTCTTATTTCATTTATCTTCCTGTCTTATTTCATTTATCTTCCTGTCTTATTTCATTTATCTTCCTGTCTTATTTCATTTATCTTCCTGTCTTATTTCATTTATCTTCCTGTCTTATTTCATTTATCTTCCTGTCTTATTTCATTTATCTTCCTGTCTTATTTCATTTATCTTCCTGTCTTATTTCATTTATCTTCCTGTCTTATTTCATTTATCTTCCTGTCTTATTTCATTTATCTTCCTGTCTTATTTCATTTATCTTCCTGTCTTATTTCATTTATCTTCCTGTCTTATTTCATTTATCTTCCTGTCTTATTTCATTTATCTTCCTGTCTTATTTCATTTATCTTCCTGTCTTATTTCATTTATCTTCCTGTCTTATTTCATTTATCTTCCTGTCTTATTTCATTTATCTTCCTGTCTTATTTCATTTATCTTCCTGTCTTATTTCATTTATCTTCCTGTCTTATTTCATTTATCTTCCTGTCTTATTTCATTTATCTTCCTGTCTTATTTCATTTATCTTCCTGTCTTATTTCATTTATCTTCCTGTCTTATTTCATTTATCTTCCTGTCTTATTTCATTTATCTTCCTGTCTTATTTCATTTATCTTCCTGTCTTATTTCATTTATCTTCCTGTCTTATTTCATTTATCTTCCTGTCTTATTTCATTTATCTTCCTGTCTTATTTCATTTATCTTCCTGTCTTATTTCATTTATCTTCTTGTCTTATGCTTTCCCAGTCATTGAAAGTCTTAGTAGAATTTTTCTTGCTGACACTCAAATTGGTGATTGGCAAATCTGGGTTTTGATGAATTTACTATATTTTTTTTTATACTGTAGTACCCAACAAAAGCTTTGGCTCCGTTGATGCTGGAGGATTATCGGCGAGTGATGGTTGATCGAAGGGGAGAAGAAGAACAGTTCACTTCTGAGAACATTGTGCAATGCATGAAGAAAGGTATATAACCTTTCTTTTTTCTGATACTCTAACTCCCGATGCAGGAGCAGGAATCATCTATTCCACAACACTACCAACGATTGACCATAACTGAAGAAAATGCCACTGTGAGCCGTTGCTCTGGACCCTATAGAAACCCCAAACCCAACATTTCCATATCAACGCAACCCACAACAAGCATCACAATGATCAACACCTCCAATAGAATCTCACAAGGAAGTGTCTAAAGAAAGATAAGTGACCTACACAAAGGAGGATTGAGACCACCACCACAGATGAGTCAAGGCAAGGCCAAATAAAATAGACTAGGGCTCGTTGTGCAAGCAGCAGGAGTAGACATTGCCAGCAGGGCACATACACCATATGTTACATGAACTTGGGTACGAGTATTGGGTGCTAGTGTGCATCCAAGCGTCATACCTTATAAATTCAAATCTTAGGATCTTGGGATATGTATCCAAAATTGGATATGGGTATGGGGACGCGTCATATACACGTACAGATTGCATAGAAATATACTTGAAATTGAATAGGATTCATGAAAAATATGAACTTTCTATATCTAATTAATGTGAGAGGCCAAAAATAGATTTGCTAGCAAATGTGAGTTTCTTCTTCTCATATATATTGTAACAAATTAAAGGATTTGAGTATCTAAATTGGGTACGAGTGTCGGACACATATTCCACACCCGTACCCATGTCATATCCAGTGGACACGGGTACTATGGGGGAAATAGAAGAGTCCATGTAATATATTTAGATGAAATAATGAAACCACTCTATCCTAGAAGACATCTCTCCATCAAAGAACTGCACCAAAGCTGCAACTCTAACTATATTGGTGAATAATACAATTATAGAAGTGGAAAAAATGAGAGAAAAAAAGAACATCCGGAACCAACACATCAAAGAAAGGTCATAGAACTGGACATGAGAGCACCTGAACCAGGGAAACACATGCACTTGATTCTCCATTTCCCCTTGTGCAACTTTGTGTACCATCTATGTTACATGAACTCTTTTAAATTTGTGAAGTTCCCACTGCCGATACTTGAATAAGGGTATAGAATATTATCTGGTATGCTTAGTTGGACATTCACCCATCTGTCTCCAAATCAGAATGCTGTATGCAGATGACTTCCTTTTTTTTTTTTGTTTTTTGTTTTTTTTGCAAACCCCATGCCACACTCTGTGACCAACACTCTTCTTTGATTGCCTTCAACAAGGGTGATTTCTAAGGTTTTCAACCCACTTAAAGAATATACCTCATTTGAGAGTCTTGTTTTTAAAAAAAATGGAACAGATAATGGTTGTGGAATTGATGAAACAGTTGCTGGGGCCAATATAATGTACCTTGACAGTGTAACAACACTAGAAACTTTATTTGCAATCTACTTGATGGAGAAGAATTTCTGTACTAAACAGACATTCTAATCTAGATAGTCGTGGTGGATTCCCATTCTTTACTTCAATAAATGCGTATGCTTTAATTTTATTCTCCGGCACACTTTGTTTTCACCTTCCTGTTTCTCTGTCATTGAACTTCCTTTTTTTTTTTTTGGGTTTTGGTATTTGCATTGGCAGTTACAGCTGTGGATCTGAAACAGACTGTACAGGTTGATAAAGACCTTCAGATCCGTGCCTACTATGCTGGACATGTAAAACTTTACTTTTTTTCTCATGCATGTGTTCGTTTAGAAATTGCTACAGGTTGATAAATTTTAAGTTCCTGGCCCCCTGATTTTTCGCTGATGCACTTGTAGAAGTTTCTAATTGTTTCCGCTGTTTATGTATTCCCTCTCTCTCTCCGTCTCTGTCTGTCTGTCTCTCTGTCTAAAGTATCTTCTTCAGAAGTAGCTCCTGCTCTTAGCTCCTAGTTATGAACTTCTTTCTTCTAATTATTTAAGACTAAATTCAGCACCTTTTAAGCAGTATGACGCAAACAAAGTAAGTATTTGTTCCCAGCTGGTACATACTTGAAGTTTTAATGGTATTTGGATGCCATAGCTTTTTGCTCACCTGCCCCCACCACAATCGCAAAATGCAGTAGTTATGATGCATCTAGCATAGAACTTTGGCATTCAAGCATTCATGACACTTGGAAACCTGGCTTCTCTCTCATCTGGTACTTAATTGAAGTTTTAATGGTATTTGGAAGCCACAGTTCACTGTCTTCCTGCCCCCTTATTGGGATGGCCACAGCAATGGCAAAATACAACAGTGTAGATGCATTTTAGTTTGGAATTTTTTTTTGGGGTGCAAAATGCAAAATATTTGAGACCATAGTTATTATGTATCCATTTGAAACTACTCGCTTGAGTGCAATCTATGAGTTTCATAAGCTAACTGACACATACTGTGTTTAGTACATTTTTTTTTGTCCAAGAAAGCTAGCTGGTCTAGCAAGACAGCACAGTGTTTTAAAAGGCGTGCCTAAGCGCCCGCTTAGGCATGAGGGGCACCTAAGGCTCCTCAGGCAGCTTGAGGTGAGGCATTGTAGGGAAGGCGCATATGAGGCGTGAGGCGCACGCCTCATCCGCTTCATTTAAATTCTTGCTTCTGCTTTATTCTTTGTGTAGCCACAGGGAATTATTACTCCTTTAACATGAAATGCAAACACATGCTTTGAGTCCCAATTTTCATATAAAAAAGCCCTAGTCATTGAGCAAAAGCTCTGGGTTTGCAAGATGGATATATGACTTTGAGATTTCTTTCAATGTAGTGAATTATGACAGTTTGGGGCCAATGATTGAAGCTATCGGGCAATTTGGTCCCAGTTTAAAATTAAAACTACTAAGTTACCATGTGGTGCAAGTTTCATATCTCAAAAAAGAAGTGAATCACGTCAATAAATTGATAGACAAATAGTACTGGGCAAAGTAAGATTGAATGTTATTTTTGGGGATTTTTCAGAATGTTGAATATTGTTTTCATAATTTGTTGGAAAATTGAATGTTGTTATATGATTTTTGGAGTTCTATAAATATTTGCATATGTTGTGAACTTTGCTTAGATTGAAATTTTGCTTGGCACCTCAACGCGCCTAGAGCTTTTGAAAACACTGGGACAGCAGAACTCTTCAATGCAGCTTGATCAAACCCTTGTATCAAGTGTCGCTTGATTTCTGTTAATGCCAAAATGGTCGAGGATTCTGTTGTTTGAACCATAGGAAAGTTTTTTGGTTTTCCAAGAAAAAATTAGAAACATTTTTATTGCCCAACAAAAAAGAAAAGTAGAGTTGAGGAACTCAGAAAGTGCTGCACCAAAATCCTATTTCCCTAATGCCATAATGATTAGTTTTTGGTTTTCCAAGCAAAACGAGAGACATTTTTTTATATCCCCAACAAAAAGAAAAAGTAGAGTGTATGGAACACAGAAAGTGCTGGACCATTCTGTTCGAAGTCCTGGTGATTTTTTAAGCCTCATCACAAAGTTCTGTCATCCTAATCTTAAGATGCTCTTTTGTTAACAAGTTATGCACTGTCCCTTTTCCATTGTAGTTGTGTATATGTCAGTGTTTCAGCAAAAGTGTTTTCAATGTGATGCTTATTTATTGTGCCTCTTGTACTAGACAATGGACATTATGAAGCTGCTTTTTGTTTATTCTCTGTGTGCTATCTGTGTATGCAATTTGTTCTGTGTCAGTATCACAGATCCACTCTATGTATAAATTCAATATTGTGTATTTTTAGGTTCTTGGAGCTGCAATGATTTATGCAAAAGTAGGAGATGCTGCTATAGTGTACACAGGGGACTATAATATGACACCAGATAGACATCTTGGAGCTGCTCAAATTGATCGACTACGGTTGGACCTTGTTATAACAGAGTAAGGAACACATATATATATTGCTTATGTTGCTGCTTGCTGGATCAGAATCATAATTAGACATGCTTGTTGTCTGTAATGTATGGTATATGTCATTTGTTAGTTTGTGAAGTTTTGTATTGATCGGGAATATGAGGAACCATATGGTGCGCATGCAAAAGAAAGGAAAAAAGTATTCTTTGGTGCTTTGTTATTCAGCTCTATTTGGTCATTTATTTATTTACTTTTTTGAGGTTGTGTATTCAGTGCAATGCTTTGAAATGTTTCCTGCAATTCTCTCTTCTTTTAAACACCTCTTCCTAGTTGCAATTGTAGCTGCACCAGATTAACATATGATTAATTCCCTGGGTTAATCTGTTTTTGCCTTCAAATTTACGTGTGAAACACAAACATATATATGATTAAAACTGCAGCATTAGAAGGTTTGGTAATGTGGCATTTATCTTCTTTTTTTCAATTTATTTATCTTGTTACTGTTACATACTTAAAACAACTTTCTCCTGATCTTCTGACTCACCAGGGCCATGGGCATCTAAGCACTCTCTCTCCCCTTTTCTCCCTATTTTTTTTTTTATAATGTATTGATGCAGTCTTGCGTCTAAATCTCATTTATTATTTTTCTTCCTTCGACCTATAATCATTCTTCTTTATATGTTTTGTCTTGATGTATTTATATATATATATATAATATTTCCATATTTTTGCATTAGGCCACATGTTTTTAGTTTGTACTTCATTGGGTGTTTGTTCCCATATGTGGAGGGTGCTGGTGGGGTGGTGGCAGGCAAGATACAGACTTAATCTTGGGCATTATTTCTACAAAGTGGCTACTGTTACACCCAAATCCATGTCCTCAAGTGTGGTAGCTTTTACCATTGCCCCAAGTAACGTGTACAATTGTATGTTTGAAGCTTTCATGTTGCATGATACTACATGATTTATGTTTTGTGCAGTATCCTGTCAAAGATTAAGAATGCCTTCAGTTGATCAAAAAAAATTGAGGATGCCTTTTATGAACCAGATCCTCCTCTCATTGTTGAAAACTTGGTATACTTTTTCATATAATCTAAAAGCTACACTCGCACGTTTGAGACTATACATGGTGTATATGTATAAAATTAAATTCTTTATTGTGTATAGTCTAAAAGCTACCTAAGAGTGAATATTTTTGTTATTTAGGATTGATCATCACAATGGCTGGAGAGATTAGAGCAGATGTGGTCCATAAAATTAAGGCAGGGTGGCTTAAGTGAAGGAGTGCGTCTGGGGTACCGTGTGATTAACAAGTACCCATTAGACTAAAAGGAAAGTTCTATAGAACGGCTATTAGACTAGAGATGTTGTATGGGACGAAATGTTGGGCAACGAAGAAACAACATGTAAATAAGATGAGTATTGTTGAGATAAGGATGCTAAGGTGGATGTGTGGCAAGATTAGAAAAGACAGAGTTAGGAATGCGTATATTTGTGAACGGTAGGAGTAATATTGATAGAAGATAAGTTGAGACAGAATAGATTGAGATGGTTTGGTCAAATACAATGGAGACTAATAGAGGTAGTAGTGAAGATATGCGATACAGTGATGGCAGATGGAAGTATTAGGGGAAGGGGCAAACCTAGATTGACGTAGGCTAGTGTAGTATATAGATATATGAATCTCCTTAATTTGACTAACCAAATGACCGTTGATAGAGTCGAGTGGAGAAGAAAGATTCATGTAGCCGACCCTATTTGATGGAACTTAAGGCTTGGATTGATTTGGTTTGGTTTATTGTGAATGATGACTGTTTTTAAAAATCGTGGTTCTAAATCGAATTGAATTGCGATTTAATGGTTCGATCTGGTTTGGTTCTAACATTGTCATAGTTTAGTTTGGTTTCAATTTTTTAGAACAATAGATAATGGTTTGATCTTGGTTTATTTTAAACCGAATTATGCTTACTCTTAGAGAGAGTGAGAGAGAGGGGGGTTGAGCTCAATTCCAAATGCGCACTCAACACTCTGTGGGGCGAGAACAAGAATCACAACACCATTGCAACCACCACCACCAGTGTAGATTGCTTCCCTTGCTTTAATTGCTTTTATTTATAAGTTAGCTAATTGTGTCTGCTTTGGCTAACCAAACTCATTTTGTCTTTGAAGAAGCAAAAACATTGTCTACACATTCAGTGGCATTCGCCACATTCATCTTTGTGGTGCTAATTGATCAGAAGCCTCACCAACTTTTGAAAGATCAGATATAAAAAATTAAATTTACTTAAATTTTTTTTTGACAAATTGACCCCACTCATTCATAAAATTGAATTCACTACAAAGAGTCAAAACAAAATATTAGAAAGTTTCAATCTACTTGCTTGGGTACATAGGATCTATCTTCTAGGGTTGAGAACAAAAATAGTAAAAGTGGTAAATTGGTCCAATCAAGATCATATAACATGATTTGATTTGGTTTTCTTAATACAGGTTCGATCCTGATTCTTAAAATATGCAAATTGTACTTCACAGTTTTGTCCATGATTTTATAGTTGCAGATTCATTTTAGAATTGAATCGGACCGTTTAGATATATATAATTTATTACCTACCAAAAATACTCAAATATCTTATTAATATCAAATATATATACATAAGTTGTAACCATGTACTTTAGCAAGCATGTTCTTGTATAGTGGTAAAATTAGTTCTAAGTAGTCATCTAAACAATTCTTAGATTGCGATGTGAACAATACTATGTTATCATATTGTGATTGATGAAAATGTTTTCAAAAATCACGGTTCCAAACTGAATTGAATTGCATTTTATTGGTTCGGTCTAGTTTGATTTGAAAATTTTCATGGTTTGATTTAGTTTCAAATTTTATGGAACCGTAAGTAAGAGTTTGGCCATTGATTTAATCCTAAACCGAACCACTCTGAACTATATTCACTCTTACTATTTTCTTACTTTTATCAATAGTAAGAGTAAATAAGCAAAGCGCCCTCTTTATGTGGATGTAGAGTCCGCGGGTGTGTCCCCAAGGAATTAATAGTACCTACGAAAAGCTAAACTTGAGACATGGAGATAGCAAACTAATTCGCAGCATTCCAAATAAGTTAGTAAGAAACAACATGTAGATAAGATAAGTGTTGTTGAGATTATGATGCTAAGATGGATGTGTAGAAAGACTAGAATAGACAGAATTAGGAATGAGTATATTCGTAAACAGGTAGGAGTAACATAGCTGAGAGAGAATAGATTGCGATGGTTTGGTCATATACAATGGAGACTAACAGAGACAGCAATGACGAGATGCAATACAATAACGGTAGATGGGAAGTGTTAGAGGAAGGGGCAGACCTAGATTGACATGTGCTAATATAGTAAATAAATATGAATCTCCTTAATTTGGTTAAGGAGATATGAATCTCCTTAATCAAATGGCCTTTGATAGAGTCTAGTGAAAAAAAAGGATTCATGTAGCTGACTCCATTTGATGAGACTTAAAGCTTGGTTTGATTTGGTTTAGTTTTCTCTTGGATCCAATAAACGAATAGTTTTAAGTTGAACAATAAAAAAGGAATTGTTTTGGTAATTATCAAAGTCCTGAAGCCAATAATACAACTAGTCCTTCTCTCTTTATTGAGAACTTGGACCTTATATGGGAGGATGTCGATATGTGCCCTCGTGCCCCTTTTTGTTCTTGCACAAGAGTGTAATCACTAGTGAAGTTAATCTCCAAATACGAGGTCCTAAGGGGATTCACAGTCATGATTTTAGGGAAATGATTATGACTTCTCATTTCAGCTTTGAGGAATGTGATATTAGAGTCCAACATCTTAACAAAGTTGTGGACCATGATATATAAGAAAAATAAAAAAATAAAATTAAAAGTAATAATGACCCCAAACCGCTATTTCCACTTAACTTTACTCCGAATATATTCCATTTTTTATCCTTATCATACATAGTTACTATTCCTACTCCACTTTATTCCAAATACACTCTCTTCTATGTATAATACGAACAAAGAAGAGAGCATATTTGGAGCAAAGTGAAGTGGGTAGCTGCTCCCATAATGATCTGGTAATATGGAGATCTCATTAATTGTCAGTTCAAGTGTAAAAACTTACCAAAATATGACGAAGATGCAGAGAATTTGTTGTTATGAAAATTGCATAATCTCTCCCGAGTTTTGATTGGAGGAAAAAAAGAGATTATTTACACGAAGGCCTCCTAAACTATTGAGAAGTATCATTTTGGCTCCCTAAACTATAAACGCGTACAAATATATCCTCTAAACTATTGAGAAGTATCACTTTGCTTTCTAAACTATAAAAACATATGCTGGCTATTTTTGACACTTCGAAGGTTAGGAATGTAATTCAAGCATGCCAACAAGGATCTAAAAAGTCCTTACAGGTAATAAATGTCAATTTTTATCAAGCGATTGTGTTAAGGTTCTCTTAGCATCAATGAACAGAACTTTTGTTGTGTTGCGTTGAACCAAAGCGTTATCTCAAATTTGTAACAAAATGGGAGGGAGAAACTGGCCAAAAATTGCAATTGATTAACTAAATAAACAATTACAAAATATTACCTTTGGTAAGGGCAACTTCAAAACTTTTAAACTAACCAAGTTTTGGAATTACAAGGCTAATTTACTCATACGAAATGTAAGTGTAGTGCGTAAAAGTAAAGTGTGAAAATTTAAAAATAAATGAAATTGGCAAAGACGTAAAGTCTGGATTTGTTCGGGGATCTCTTTAGTCTTTGCTTCCATCTATTTATAGGTTTCCCTTGGCACCTTCGAAGCAGTTAGACTGTTATCTCTCACCATGATCTCCTCTCTTCTCGCTATTTCTTAGGACCATAATTTTCTCTTCGTGAGTATGTAACTGCTAGCAACTGCTTCTTGCTAACTGTTTTTTCACATGCCTCTCACATGTTGCTCATTATCTTTACTGGTTGATCTTGCATTCGCCGCTCACATAGGCACATCTGAAAGTGGGACTCCACAAAGTACTCTGTCTGCCACGTGTCACTTTCAACTTAGGTGGTTTAAATATGGCACCAACAACGTACAAATGTCCCTAAATTATAAAAACGTACAACTTGGACCATTACCAGAAGGGGTCAAAGTGAAATATGCCAATAATTTAGGAGGTCTATTTGTACGTTTTTAAAGTTTAAAAGATCAAAATGATACATCTCAATAGTTTAAGGAGTTTCTATATAAATAATCAAAAAAGGAAAAGAAAAGGCACATCCTGTAGAGGATTGCAACAGTAATCACAGTATATTCATAAAGCCCTCAGGGGTGAGCTTATTATTCTAATTTGTGTGTGGTTTCTAATTCTGTTTTTGCAGGTACTTAGAGGTTTAAAAAATAAAAAATAAAAAAAACATTTAGAACATTCTTTTCTTTGCTTGTCATCTACATTTCAAAATAAGACCTTTGTTGACCGAAGCACGCGACAGATGAAATTGAAAGCATGCCCCTTTGATGGATTTAAATCCAAGATGTCATGACCCACACCGAAAGCCCAAAAAGATAAAGCAAATAAACTGTCATGCCCTTGTGATTTCTCTTCTTTTTTCTTTCTTTTTGACTTCAATTACCAACAAAGATGTAATTAATTTCTTTTAACTTTGTCTATTTACCACCAAATAAAATAAAAAAAAAATGGAGAGACATTGCCGGAAATGGATCAGTCCTCAGAAACTCCTTAACCTCTGTTTGATTAAAAAGAAAATTTAGTAAAAAATAAAATTAAAAGAAAAATGAAGTGAAAGAATAAAAAAAATTATAAACATTTGATTAAGAAGAAAGTTTTGTAAGAAAAAAAATAGAAAAACTTAATTATAGATAACTCACACATTCAATTTTTTGTGTGTTTTCTTATATCTTTTTACATGAAATTAAAAATTAATTACAATGCTAATTTGGGTTACATAAGAAAATTAGTTTCTTCTACTTTCCATGAAAAGTAGAAGAAACTAAACTAAATAAACATACACAAATTAACTTTTTTCTCTTTCTTTCAGTTTCTACCTATTTCCTTTTAAACAA